GCCCCGTCCAACATGGAGCTGCAGCACGGCGGCTGCATCCAGCTGTCACAAAGTCTCACGGAGGACAGTTGTGTGGACATCCACAGCAGCTCAGGAGAGGAGGAGGAGGACAAGGAGGAGGAAGAGGAAGAGCAGCAGCAGGAGGAGGAAGAAGTGGAAGAGGAGGACATGAAGAGTGAAGACAATCATGTCACACAGGAGGAGGATGAGGAGGCTCTGGGAGGACAGCCTGAGCAGCAGGAAGAAGAGGAAGAGGAGGAGCAAATGGAGGAGGAACAAATAGAGGAGGAAGATGGAGGCGTGTTGGACGAAATGTCAGCAGAACCAACAGCCGTCCCTCCTCCTGAGGCTGAGGTGGAGGTCAGCCGCTCCCCCCAGGATGTTGGATTCTGGGACAGCGAAGAGGTGGATGATAAAGAGGAGGAGCCGGAGCAGCAGCAGCAGCAGGAGGAGGAGGAGGCACTGACCGTGGAGGAGATGATAAAACGTAACAGATACTATGAGGATGAAGAGGAGGAGGAGGAGGACGTGTGAAGATGATCAGCCAACACACTGACAGCCACAGACACTTCCTGCCGTTTCACAGCTTCTTCTTCTTCTTCTCTTCCTGGACGTGGCTGCAGTCTGAACTCTCAGCTCTACTTTGTGCCTCTTTCGTCACTTTGACCAATGCTTCCAAACATTCCAGCTAACGCTTTTTATAAGAACACCACAGATGATGTCACCACAACAATATTGTTTTTAAAAGTCCAACTATTTAAAATGAAATCCCTGTAAACGAAGCTGCACAACAGAAAAACTTACTTTTTTAAAAAACATCGATTCCATCCAAACGTTCACCAGCTTCACGACGACGTGTCTGTGATTAGTGTTTTTTATCTGAGAAAAAAAAATAGATTTAACATGAAGAATGACTATTGGAACTTTCTTTTCAGTTGCCATGGAGAAAAAGTACAATCAACGTTCTTCACTTTGAATATCCACGACTAGACCTGAATGTTTTAAAGACCCAGGGACCAAATATCCTTGACTGCTACTGTTTAAATAAATAAATTGTTATATGAAAAATAATTTGAGTCTTTAAATTTGTGTCACACTGAAGCTCTTTGGTTTGAGTTTGTTGTTGTTGTTTCTACGATAGTAAACACAGAGATAAAGATATCTGCAGTAATATGACGTTCAACGTTCACCTCCATCTGTCACACAGTGGACATGGTCAAAGTGAAGGCCGTGTTCAACTGGTCTACGTTACAGAAGCCTTTATTGACAGTCAAACAAAGTGAACAAGGCTTTAATAGTGCAATATCAACGATGGGTTCGATCTTAAATACATTTAGAACACCACAGGTCACGTTTGGAGATGCTACAGACGTCGGAAACAAGTTTGTTTCATTTCTCTAATTTGGTTGAAAGGAGTAAAAAAAAAAAATCTCATCAACTGAGATTCAAAGTCCAAAATAGGCGACTTTAATACCCTGATCTAAGACGTGGCGTTTAGGTCCACATCAGTGTCACGTTAACATCTTTGACCAGTCTAGAAATCATATTTACAGTCTCAGGTTTGAACCTGTGTTTGTCCAGCGCTGCAGGTGAAGGAAACAAACTGATGTTTTCATTCATGGCACAGAAAAGAATCACACCAACAACCTCCAGCAGATATGTGATTGAACAGTAAAAACAAAACCCTGTGTGGTAGGTTATTTTACAGCATGTTATGTCTCTAACACCGCCATCTACAGGATGTAGGCTTTCATTGCAGGAAGGTTGACAGGAAGTACCGTTAATGAGAGACAAACGGAAACTCCGAAGAATGCAGAGAAGTCGTTGTGAAAAAACGGAACTGAATATTTAAAACAGGTGTGAAAAATAAAAATAAATAGAAAAACCAACTCTCCACCAACCAGATTCTCGTTCGTTCTAATCGTATATTGTCGTAGTTCAAACGTCCGTTCCTGTTCAAGGTTGTTCACCTAACAACCGTCCACACTCACAAAAAACTGACCTGCAGTCAGTTTATAGCAGCCGACTCAAAGCTTTTTAAAATGTACTTTCAACCTCATGTCATGTAGAAAAAACAGTTTTTGGACTATAATAAAGTACATTATTTAAAAAAAAATTAAATATCAATATATTTGATTTCCCGATGAGAACGAAGCATAATATTGAGGTTTAATATTCTGACTTGTCACACCATGAGTACAGTAGAGTTCAAATGCAACAGCGCCATCCAGTGGTTATTATAAGTGCTGTCAGTGAGCCCGGTGCTCGGTACATTTGCTCATTCTCTCTGGAAACAGCAGATTTTCCTGAACACATTGAACACGACAAAAGTTCGCACTGAAAAAGCTGAACGTACTTGACATAAACTCGTGACGTGTTGGTTTGCTGTTCCTCAGAGCTTCTGCTAAAGAAGCACTGCCCTCGTGTGGTGAGGAGAGAGAACAACCGGGCACCTTCCTAGTTTTGTTTTGTTTTCATATTTATTGTATATATTCTGACTGTTCTTTAGTATCTAGTGAAATATTATAAAGTGAAATGTTTATATATTTGTTTTTTTTTACTTTTGGCAACACAACAAACTGATACATTTTAAATATTGTTAAATTTTCTGTGACCATTTTTCACCTGAGGAGGTGGATAAAAGACCAAACTTTTTAATAATTATTTGTGTCGACTAATCATGCCCCATACTCTCAACAAACACCTTTCATTTTTTTGCAAATCCATTCAAAACCACTGACCTCATTTTGACAAGAATTTACATCTAGCTCGTGCTTTATAAGTTAGGGTGAAAGAAAAAAAATGAAAAATGCAAATTACTCACATTAAAGAAGGCGGTCCTGCACCTGTACCAATAAGGTTAATAATGAAATGTTAAAATGAGACGTAACCTAACAGACCAGTGTGAGGCGCTACACTGATGGACTGATATTAACAATGGATTCTATTATTCTGTAGGTTGTTCTTTTATTCTGTTCATGTCTTCAGTAGAATTCCCTTTGTCTCAGGGTCAAAACCAAACACATTCCCTGAACCTTCAACATCGAAGCTGAATTAGAAATGAAGTGATTTGTTTTGATTTTTAAACTTTGTAAAAATAAAATAAAAATAAAAAAAATGACCTGATGTTGCAGAAATATTGCGCTCCAGGAGAGCAGGGAGTGAGGTTCCTGACCCTTCACAGGAGCACAGCCTCACCCAGAGTGGGGGGGAGAGAGGGAGAGTCTCTGCCAACACACTGTGACTCACCACAGCTGTTTTTGACGGAGAGAGGTGGACAAACAAAACGCACAAATAAAAAGAGGGGGTGCGTAAAGAGTGCGAGCTCATGACGAGGAATCGAACGCTCGCTGCTTCATGCAGACAAATGTGAGACGACAGAATGACCTCAGCAAAGATTGCATAGAGTTAACGGTTGAAAAAAATCTGAGGAACCGTTTGTTCCTGTACTTTATACCAGCACTGCATACCCCATGTACTACTGTACTATTGTAGTACTTTAGACCCAGGAGTGAGATGTGATTGTGTCCAACATTGATGATCGTGAAAAAGAATTATAAATAAAATCCCAGCAGTGCAATCCCAGCAGTGCAGAGTGTGTGTGTGTGTGTCTTTGTGTGTGTGTGTGTGTCTTTGTGTGTGTGTGTGTGTGTCTTTGTGTGTGTGTGTGTGTGTCTTTGTGTGTGTGTGTGTGTCTTTGTGTGTGTGTGTGTGTCTTTGTGTGTGTGTGTGTGTGTGTGTCTTTGTGTGTGTGTGTGTGTCTTTGTGTGTGTGTGTGTGTCTTTGTGTGTGTGTGTGTGTCTTTGTGTGTGTGTGTGTGTGTGTGTGTGTCTTTGTGTGTGTGTGTGTGTCTGTGTGTCTGTGTGTGTGTGCAGCCGAACCCAGTGTGTTCTGGTGAATGTTAGCAGCATGCTAGGCTACCGTGGATTGGCTCTACAGCGCAGCCAGCTGTTTGCAGGGGCGTCACAGCACCGGTCCAAACCCTCACCCACTGAGGGGATGCAGATCCACCTTCACCTTCTCTCCACTGCTCAGCATCCCCACAGTGGGGTAGAGGCCTCCTGGAGGGACCACCATCTCTCTGCGACCCATCAGCTTCCCATTCCTGGTGAAGAACACCTGAACGACCACAGGAGGGAGACAGAGTGGCAAACAGTCAAAGGTAAATCCACTGGAACGATCCATCAAAAGAACAAACTTATACAAACTTCAGTTTAGAGAACACGGTGTGCCGGCTGTAAACAAGAATAATGTGCACTTTTGAAATATTGTTAAATAAAGAGGTGACAGAACCATTTGTGTCCATTTGTGCGTTAATGTTTACCGAACGTGTCTCGACTAAATCAGCGAGCGATCAAACATTATCCAGCTGTTCTCAGAAGAACATCAACAGGCTTTTCAGAGCTGATACACGGGGATTCTTTCCAAGTCTGAAAACAAACACTCACACAAAACACACCAAGTGGAGTGTGTGTGGAGTGTTGGCCTTTCCATCAATCACACACACATCAAACATTTATACACTGTGAAAATAAAGGCACTTCATTACCACTATACGTGTTCAGATGAAAGGCAGGACAAACTGCCACTGGCACTGGTTAGAACAACATGGGCAAACACACACACACACACACTGCCCCCATCACCCTCACACACGTGCAGCTAGTTGTTGTACAGCAGTGCATCAAGGGTAATGTTTCCTGCGAGTAAATATTGACAAATCCCTGGACTATGAATGGTCCTGATCTGATCTGAACCCACTCGGGTTTTTCTGCCCCGTGTGTCTCACCCACCGCTGAAGCCCTCGTCCTCTATAACTGCACAGGCACAATTAGCCACGAGCTATTAGTCAATTTGTCAAAGTGACACAAAATGAACACACAACACCCCCCGACCCTTCATCTTCTTCTTAGTAGATACTGTACAGTACACTGATGGACAATATGGAACCAGAACCAGAGGATGATTCTACTGACGCCAGGACCAGTGCACGGACCAGGTGAATGTTCTCATGATGTTACAGTGAGTTCCACCAGGTCTGTTACAACTTCACAGTGGACACACACAAGCCATGAGCAACAATTACTGCAATCCTACTGTGTACTGTACTGCGAAAAAAAAAAAAACTGCAATCCTACTGTGTACTGTACTGCGAAGAAAAACCCCCCCACAAGTTTAATATATAGTAAAAAGGTGTCACTGGAAATGAAACACCAGGAAGACGTGATGTTTTTACAGGTGCTTCTCTTGTACACACACACACACACACACGTTTCTTTTCCATTTATCAACAGGTGGCAGTAATGTGTCGAGACACAGGAAAAGCTGTCTCACTCTCAGCTGTGTGTTGTAGGTCTGGTGTAACCCCTGACAACATGCACATACTGTACTTTAAATTTCAATGGAATCAATCACAGATGTTTCCATCACAGAATTCATTCTTTGTAGAACTCTGAGGGATTTCTTTTTAGACCAGGAACTTTATATTTTATATGTTAGCTCAGAGTTAGACCTAAACCTTTAGGTAAAAGTGAAATGTTTGCTCAGATTTTAATTCATTAATTTTCGAGGGTTGAACTTCCGTCATCTCGCTGCTTATGAAATATATAATTAAAACTCAGAGACCAGTCTCAACATCATCAGTCATTTAAACTAGACACCTTTTGGAATCATCTAAACATCTGTGGTACAACTTCCTGACCACCACACTTCCTAACAGGACTCAGATCCACCCCACAGTCTCTGTATCCTGTGGGAAACGGCTGCACACCGAGGTTCATGCATTGTTTCTCACCGTGACCTTCCTTCCTTCCTGACCCTGCTCTACCTCTTCCCCATCTTCATCTTCCTCGTCTTCCACCTCTTCCTCCTCCTCCTCCCCCTTTTCTTCTTCAGTAAGGTACAGAAGGTTCTGGATGCCTGCGTGACCTGGATGGACCGGGGGCTGATCACGGTCATCGATGTCACCTAAGGACAAAATTAAAAAAAACAGAGCGTTAGGTGTTTGACAGGAGGCGTTGGTGAGAGCGCGGCCCGGTGGCGATCATAAAACCCCGGTCCAGGTCACGGAGAGCAGAGTCAAGACAGTAAAACGCCTTCATTAGGGCCAGAAAATGAGACGTGCGGTGAATGAGATTACCTGACATCAACTTTTTGTAACGTCAGCAAATTTAAACAGACCAATACTCACGAAGTATGTTTGGTAATTAGAAACTGATGTAGAGAAACCACACAAGGGCAGGAACACTTATTGTTTGTCTTTCGTGGAAATAGGGGGAGGGAGGGTGAGAATTTCACCTTAAGGTGACTGCTCAGCGTGCCATGTGGGGGGGAGGGGACCTTAGGTTGATATCCAGTTTCATTCCCACACAATGCACCTCTGTTACCACCCGATGTTGCCGCCACTGTCTTGTGCTGAACCACAATAATTAGAGTGAGGGGGTGAACCCTCCCACCACCACGTTGGACTGCTTTAATGAGTGACGGTGGAATTCAACCGGCCACTCCTCTCACCTTCTCTGTCCAGGATGTAGTCTCGTGGGAACATGATGCCGCAGCCCATGATGTCGCCTTTGAAGCAGCGAGGACCAAAAGCGTCACCGACCCCGCTGCCGTGAAAGATCTTCCCATCATCTATTTAAGAATGAGCAGGACACACACACACAAACACACACACACAGACACACACACAGACACACACACACAGACACACACAGATGTCAACACTGAACAGTATTCCATCAAGACCACAGCCTTGAAGGAAAACTGGATAGTAGTGAAACCTGATACTCATTAAAGTACTGTGGGTGTACGAGCAGGAGATGCTACGCAGTAAAAAACAGATTTTTTCCTGGACTACAGGTATTACAGTCTCCACAGGAGCAGTTATTCATAAATGTTTCTGCGATCGATTATTATTTATTCAAGTTACAAACGCTGTTCACTCCTCTGTGATGCTGCGTTGTCCTAAAGATCGCCGCTCATAGATTTGTCATCGTCACGAAAAATATTTGTCGTAGTTGTAATTCATAGTCAGTATTAGATCTGAATAAGACTAGACTTTATTATAAGGCAATGAAGTGATTTTTAAGCTCCCACAACATGACTTGGCGGGCTGCGTTTGTGCCGCAGGCCTTAGGTTTGGTTTAGTGCGTTCAGGATTACTTCTAATTACTAATAATCATTTAATCATTTTATTGTGTGTTTTGCACATATGGGCCACACAGTGGGCCACACAGTGGGCCACACAGTGGATATCATAGGACTTGATGCTCCAGCCTTGTAGTCTGATCCCGTCTCTTTGTTTTTAAATTCAGAAACGGCACCTGTGGTAATGTCAACATCTGTTAGTCTCTCTCTGTGTGTCCACTTGACTGACTGGGGAACTCTCCACGGTGCAGCCCACCCTCACCCCCAATGACTGAGATTGGCCGCAACCGGTGAAATATTGAGTGGTTGAAAACAAGAATCTGATAAATGAATAATAATGTATTTAACTTCATCTGATGACATAATCATTCAGGCTCTGGTTTTATTCCCATAATTACTGAAACACCTCCGATGACAACACGGCGAGCCCAGGTTACTGTATTATAAAATTACTCATTAATCACTTTGATTAATAATAAATGACAAGCTCATTCATTTCCATTGGCCGATGCCAATTTCACAGATTCTGCAGCCCTCAAGCTGTGACTTGTATTACACTACATTGTTTTCTTGCAGCAGAGTTTGACACTGACAACAGTCTGTGAGAGAGAGAGAGAGAGAGAGAGAGAGAGAGAGAGAGAGAGAGAGCGCGAGGTCTTTGATAATGAATCTCAGACAACTGTGACCTGCACACGTCATTTTTGACTTTTGTAAAGCAGACACCATATAGGTCAAGGGTCACCAACTTCATTTGTCTGAGGGCCGGGGGTTGGCGGGGAGGGGGATCACATATTTGTATAACGTTATTTTTTCATGTTTAGTTTTGGAATCTGGTCTTGGGCCGGAATGGGAGGTTCGGTGGGGCCGGATTGTGCCTGCGGGCCACCAGTTGATAATCAATGACGTAGGGCTAACTTCACCAAACTCCACCATCTCTACCACATGTAGTACCATGTCCGTTTGTATTTGCATTTATAAAACATCAGCTCCATTGTTCGTCAATCTTTGTTTTTTTTCCCCTGCTACTCGTCCAACCGCTAAAAAACAACACTTTTCCTTTACCCTCATGTGCGACATGTGTACATGCACTGAAGCACGAACATACAGGACATCCTGACATTCCAGTCAGACCGCTATTACGATGATGATGATGATGATGATGATGATGTGTGGTGTGTGCAACACTGAACGTAGGCTCTGTGAAAGCACTTCCATTCTATCGACAGAATCTTAAAGCAGCAGATCATCAAAACAGCATATATATAACAGTGACGGGAGACAACAATGGAAAAAGGAAAACATCGCCGAGGTAGTCTGCAGACAACGCTCTCCTCGAGCAAAGCGGCGTGGCTGCTGCTGGTAAATATTTATGGAGTTGTCATGGGACCCGTCCCCGTCTCAGGATACTGTTTAAACAATCTCTATCTGAGCACCAGGAGGGAGACGGAGACACTGTATTATTACGGCTCCCATGCGGGCCCTTCTCACAACACCACACACTAAGCAAACAGTTGAGCCATGCCGCCAGGGGAGCAGTATGGCTAAAAAAGAAAAAAAAAAAAAAGGGCCAGGTCTCTGGACAAGGACATAGTTAGACACTGGGGGCAGGACTGAGAAAGTTCAGTCTATGGGAAAAGGTTGACAACTGGGACAATAAAAATGTGCTCTGGAACTCAGGAGACCGGAAGTGGAAGTATGTCCAAGTTTATATCTATTTATAACATAGAATTACTGCCAATGTAAAGGAATAACGTAGAATAACTCACCAGTCAGACATTGTTATTCACACAGCAAAGACATACATGATGTTGATTTCAATTTACAACATTATGGTAAAAAATATTATTATAATCATCATCATAAATCATTATTAGTTAAGAATTAAACACATTTACGGTTGTATAATTGCACCTCCATGTACTTCCAAAGGAACAGCTAACTTTAGCTGAAGCAGCAGATTCTCAAAGACGGTCGGTCGAGTGACAAGTTCACGTAATGAAGGACCAACACGCGACTCATATCATACTAAGTTACATACAATATTTTTGATGCCAATTCATCAGAGACAGACAGTGGCGTGTTTGAACCATCAATCTCACACTGAAGAGGCCTGTAGTCTCTGAGATCTGGGTGGTGGATACCTGCATATTCACTGGTCCAGGTCTTGTTTTGTTAAAGGCGACCTGCGGGGTCCCAGGAGACCTTAAATAACTGTTTTCTTTTTAGTTGGCTGGTCGAGAAGTGTTTAAAAGAAATTTACTATGACTTTTATTGCATCTATGAAAAACCCTTGACCATAATGTGCAGATTTATGTTGCAACAAAAGTGTTAGCCGTATGTTTGCTCACCAACTTTGTCATCCTAACAAAAATTGTGAACAAAAAATGTCAACCAGCAAATTAAACAGCTAGTCTAGTGCTGTACATCTATTTACCATCAGGGCGTATATTTGCTCTTATTATGTGTCAAAAAGTTACAGAAATGCTTTTTAAAATATGAAACTTTGGTAAAAAAATTATAAAACCATTTGATAAAAAAAAAAATCAAGAATTCACTGCTGTCATGATACCCTGACCAAATAACTGATGATAAACTTCATTGCCACAAATGATAAAAAAACAAAAACAGTTTGAACTTGTACTAACTTTGTTATAGGAGAAGAACATGGAGAAAAACAAGATAATAAACGAATGATGTCCAGGAATGTAATATTAAACTGCATAGTAATCTTCTAAACAATTTGGTTATATAAAAGACAGTTTTAGTAGAATTTATTTTGGCAGGCCTCTGTGTGCTGCTATTTTTGACTGGGAGCATATAATAATATCTTCTGTTGCTTTTTTAAGGGTTCTTTGGTGCTAAAAAGGGTGGAAATTGATATGCAGGAAGCAGGCTCAATTTGGAGCTAGGATGTGGTGGAACATGTTAAAATTTTTGTTGGAAACTAAAATAAGCTTAGAAGTGTTGACCAGAACCTGGCTCCTGGTCTTGTGATGGAGCAGAAACCCGTTGATGGAGTCCATGTTTGTGATTCAAGATGTTAGCAGGAAGGCAGTTGTCAGTAAGAAAAATGGGGACAGTGACTGCCACCAGGTTCACGAAAAGGCTGAAAACTGGCCCTGATTTGAAGGTGTGGAACTGGGCCCACAGGAGGCTCCAAGAATAAAAAAGAAATTTGGTTTAGAACCAACAACAGCTGGGAATAGGAACAGATTTTCTCGTAACATTCGAGTTTGTCTGGAAATGCAGGTCTTTCCTGCCCAGGGAACAATGACTTCACTAACTCCTAAAGCATAAAAAATTAAAACTCAATATTTGTGTTATTTCTCCACAACCAGGTACATGAGACTGGACAGGTTTGACGCTGCCACTTTTATATTGCACAGTTGTTCAAATATGACAGACAGAGAATCTTTTTCCCAGGTCATTAAAACAGAAATGTTGCAGAAATTAATTAAATAAATATTTCAACTAAATTGTCTGTTTTGTCCTGGGTTGCTTTTCTACAGCCATCCTGCTGATGTCGCATTTAGGTTCAGAGACATGACAAACAGACGTGAACCCATAATGTTTAAGACTTGATTTTCATGGTACGACCTTAGGGCAGACATTTGTCATTAAACTTTAAAGGCTGCCTGTGGTGATGATGAGGCCCGAGGGCCACATAATAAAGCACACAGGGCCTTACCATAATCACCATAATCAAATGACATCATTCCAAACTCTGCCCCATTTTTAAAATTGCCAAAAAAACAAAAACAAAACGAAAAATGAACCATATTCCTCTCCTGACCTGTAAACAAGTGCTTCTCAAAGTGTGGGGCGGGCACCACTGGTGGGGCAGGACAAACGTTCACAAAAAAAATACACTTTTATTTTCTTTGTCAAATCGCAGCCACTGGTGGGGCAGGACAAACGTTCACGAGTAATGATGAAAAAATACACTTTTATTTTCTTTGTCAAATCGCAGGGACGGCTGAGCTAGGCCTCTGTGATGTCTATAGTACATAAAATATATGTAAATTAAATGTTTTTAGAGTGTGACACAATTTTAGTACCGATTTCTTTTGCAGTGCGGTGTTTTCAAAATTGTTCATGTTTCGAAATGCAGCGTAAATTCAACATTTTCACACACCGTGGTTGGAAGAGTTATTTTTAGTCAGGCAGCAGAATCATCCTGGCCAGCTGTCAGTGATCACTCTTCCCACACCTCTGTACGTGCGTGTCCTGGAGCTGTGGTGCCGCAGGGCAGGGACAGTCTACCATCTGCGCCTGTTTCTCTGGCACTCGTTGTCAGACACGTCTATGATAATGTGAATATCCAGTGGACAATCACTAATCAGCTCCACTTGTTCACTCGCTTTTGTGAGAAATATACAACTATTATGTCCAACCGGCACAATTCTAACAAAGTTGCAATAGGAAATAGTACTTATGTATAAACAATAATCACTGTTGTAATAGGGTGCTATATGCTAATGTTCCTAAGGTAGAAAATTGTCTCTACTTTTTAAACATTATGGTATAATTTTAGATTTTTTTTAAATATTTCAATTATATATTTTAACATTATGGTATAATTTTAGATTTTTTAAAAATATTTCAATTATATATTTATGTATTTATCTATTTTGTTATTTTCAAATCAGATCTTAGATTTGTTTTTTTTTTCTGCTAGTGTGTGAAAATTTACCACAATGTTTTTTTTTATTCTCAGTACTTAACGTCACCAGCAGGGTAGGGGTAGGGCCAGATGTGTTAAATGTTCATTAAAGTGACATTGACCTTTTACAATCAAAACTAATACAGCTCATTCTAACCATGAGGTAAAATGTGAACAAGCTTTACTATAGTCTGTACACAAAGTAAGTAATACTAAAAAATCATCTCTACCTGTGGATATATAATACCTTATGGTCAGGCTACTACTAGTACTATGGTCCATGGTCTTTTCACTGTGTAGTGGGTTTTTTGTGCCCAGTTTATGACAGTTATTTAGGTGAGATGATTACAATAAGCACAACATGTTGATAGGTTGTAAAACTAATTTTGGTGAACGTGAGCCAAGATCAGATTAGACTGTGTCACTCACTATTATCTCGTGTTGTGCTGGTGGCACTGGCGGTGGTTGTTCAACCTTCAGCTGTGGGTGTTGACTCAGCACACGGGTCTCACTGATGGAGGGTGTAGAAGGTTAATGAGCCTTGTTGAGAAACACTCAATGGTTGGATGGCTATTTGCTCCTGACAGGGCCCACGGGGGCCAACGGGGGCCCACAATGCCTCATGGCCCATTAACTTGCGAAGCCAGTGTGAGCCAAAACAGGATGGAGGTCCACACGGGGCAAGGTCCCAGTATAAATATTAGTGGTAACACCAGTCAAAGTCAAAGAACTCTCAAACTATGCAAGCCATACAAAGAGCAGCGATATGGTTGGCACACATTTGTGTATTTAACTGGAGTAAAATAACAGCCTCACAAGCAACACGCATCACATGTGATCCAGGTCAACACCGCTCGTGTGCCCAGAACAACGCATCATAAATTTACATGACAGAAATAGAACTCGAGAGTGAAACTGTAGATGTGGGGTATAATTTGAACAAATCATTATAAAATTTATGTATTTATTACCAGATGTCTCATTTAAAGATTTATCTCCCCTGAAACGCAATGGCAAAAAATCATAACAGCAACTTTTAAGGAGCAAAACGGCCCACAATAAAAAATATGGGTTTCAACATTCTTTATAAAGCCAAAACTGACAAAGAGTATCCAACCTGATATTATTACTAGACACTCTGGTAAAATTAACTGTGTTGCTAACTGCAAAAGTCAAAAAACAAAGGTGCAATGTGTCACGGAGGTGATTATGGCTCAGACCAAATGGAAAAAAAACCCAAAAGTTACAACGCTAAGGTCATTTGTTGTTGGGACAAATATCTGCTCTGGTTTCAGCACTTTGTCTGTGAAAAATTCAAAATTCAGACCATAGTGCTAACTGTTCAGAGGACATACACGGGAGAGTGACGAGGAAGGATAAAATATGAAGTGGAGTCCCAGGCTGTTGATTTTAATTAGCTGGATGAGAGCCTGAACATCGACCCAAACACAGGCAGGCAAACCTCATGTGCACAGTGTGGAAAACCACATGCATCATTTTAGTCTCTAACAAATAAGATTAATGGGAGCTGTGACGGGGCGTGCGCATTTCTGCGGCGTCCAGCGTGCGTTAGCCAAACCAGGCTGACCGCAGTGCTAGACCCCTGGGACTGGTTTGGTGAGCTCCTGTGAATGACTGGTCTCGTCTGTCACTCAGCAATGAGGCATCATCCTCAGACCCCAGCAGGACGCACGGCATGAGCTGTTATTATTAACACCATAACCCAAATATAAGATCTGCAAATGGACGCGGGGATTCGGGCTAGCACACATCAACGCAGGAAAATGAATGGAATGTGCGGAGTGAACAAAACAACTGTCTGTTAGAAAGCTGACGCGCAGAACAACTCAATACAGTGAATAATCTAAAAGAATAAAGACCATATACATGTCATGGCGGGAAATCATGTCTGCGGTGTGTGAATAATTTCGGGGGGAAAAAAAAGTTCCCCGAAAAACTCCCTGAAAGATACGTAACAATGGGATGTTTGAGATCAAAATAATAAAGATAAAAGGCAGCGAGCTCCCAGTTAGAGATGAACAAGAGTTTGATTGTAGCAGCAGATTGGGAGATAAAAACATCGCTATCATGTGTATGATTTAACAACAGCCACCGACCGACTGTAGCCGCTGCTGTTCTCACATCACTGCAGCAGGGTTTGGGAACTAATCTCCTGGCTGAGATGGTTCGGGGTGCTGAGGTCTGGAATGGCAGGGGTAGGGGTTTGTGCAGATGCCACTACAGATAATTTACACAGGCTTGCGGTCGCGAACGACCAAGACTGAATGTGTGTGGAAGCGCAGAAAGATAAAGATAACTTTGACTAAACTTTTTTTTTTCTTGTCTTGATTTTTCTGTTCCGCTCTAGGAGAGATATTCCGATAAACAAACTTCTACAGAATGGAGAGATATGATCCTTTTCCTGATGCTGTCACCATCTGTTTATCTTTTTCCTTTTCATGTGCCTGCAAACCACGGTAATCTCTCTCTGAGCTACGCACCTACACATCCAGCAAAAGCGGTATCCTGTGATGTTTGCCCTGAAGACAACAGTGAGGAGCTGGAGATGATGGAGGAGGCGTATGCATTTTGTGTCATTTATTCAACTGAAGGAGAACTACAGATCCTATTTTTTTTTTGTAAAATGACAGAAAAATTAGAACATGGAAAGCAACGATACATTAAGATGGGAACGAAAGAAAAAAAGCTGAAGTCTTACCTGCATGATAGGCAACTGATCCTCGGCTCCACCCTGGATGTCTGTTGCTTGGGTAGTCCTGCAGATAGACAAATATATAAATATATACAGTATATAAACTAATGCTGTCAGAATTAATGAATTAATGACATTATTTAATTGGCAAAATCGATTAAAAATTGTAATGCATTTTAATAGGTTGGTAGAATGACACATGCTGTATATCAATAACTGCCCCATACATCCACATATAGTTGCTGTAATACACTGCAACACACCAGGATCTACAACGATGAACCTTCACATCTCTGAATATTCCTTATTCACTGGCTACCTATTGGTTCTTGTATTTTCTGATGCAGCCACCGATTGGTTGCGCTAGTTAGAGGTCTCTATGAAACTAAAAACGATAAATTATTTTATTGAAGATAATCATGTTATTGTTATTATGTTATTGCTAAAATAACTCAATGACAGAATGTAAATATCGATTGTAATTCTAGATTAGCCATTGTGAGGTTAAATATTTACTGCAAAAAGGAACAAAAACATTTTTAGATCAGGAAGTTTGTTGAAGATCTATTCTGTCTACTTTTACACAAAAACAAGTTCCGAGCTAGGCCTGGTGACGCCAAAAGAAACAACAGGTGGGCCAACATGTGGATAACATCGGAGCATGACTCACAGTTAACTCACATAGATGTTGTCTATTAGGCTGTAGCTCTGATGTTATACAAGAATAGGTGAGGAAAGAGGAAGAGACGTGTTTTCTTGCTCATTCTCCGTGATGCAGGTGAACCCTTTTTCTACGGTACTTCTCTTCAGCTCAGTTTAACGGGCAGGGGCCTTCAATAAATCTCACGTATGATAACTCTGACGTCAAAAAGAGCCTCGAGTCAGCCTTCAGCAAGATGTCTTCAAGGAAAATGTGCTTTTATTCAAACTCTAGTGACTGATGCGAGACACATCTCATCAGATAAATAATGTAAATTAAATTATGACTGTTAGCACCTCTTTGGAAAAGAGACATGAATAATGGGGACGTGGAACACAGAAGCCAGGTCAAGCAAGGCAGCATTTTAAGGCCAGGACATCAATCAGTGAAAAAAATCAGCAATCATCTCTGACAACTCCGATGGGGACTGTTGAACAGGAAACAGGGATAGACGGATTGCGGGGATATGAGAGAAAGAGAAAGACAGAGAAAGACATCAGCAGAGGAAGACAGAGTCATGGAGGAATGCAGCTACTGCTCCAAGCCTGAAAATCCCTTGATCCGGCAAGTCTGCTCCTCTTTCCCCCCGTCTCAACCACAAGCCTGAGGATTCCTCTGGCTAACTGGCATGAGGGTTCATCTCCACAAGGAGAAAAGCAATGTCTGCATGTTTGTTTGGTTCCTGATTAATGATCAACAGACTCATATATAAGCAGTGATCTGGAGGAACGAGCTGAAAAAAGGGACAACATTAGGAAGGAATAAGAATGATGGGAACCACAGACTTAGGTCTGATAAATGGATCGAGTGTTGGACGCCTGTTTTCATAACTGTCTTTTTAGTAAACATCTACTGCATTTGATTAAAACAGTATATAAATGTGGTTTTCATTTCCTTTGAACTCTGATTTGCAGGAATATAATCTATTCAACTGACTGTAACAGTTGCACAAAATAAAACAGATCCAATGTTTTGCCAAATAAGAATTATTGTTGTGTTAAGATTTTTACCCAAGTGCCCAAGTATTGGTGTTTCAGAAATACATTTCTCACCATACTAGATAAGAATGTAATCAAATTATTGTCCTTTTATATGTGGTCTCACTTCTAAAGTCAACTCACTCCAATTACTCCAAGTAATAATTCACCTTCCTACCTGTAGTCTGTGACCAGGGAAACACAAAAGCAAACCGCGTTGACACCAAATTAGAGTGTCACCGTGTTTGTACATCTTCTTTGTTATATGTGAAACAAAATACTACTACATCTATTTGGTACTATATTCCTCAGGTTTGTCTTTTAAACAGACAATTCCTCTTCACTTTAGTCCCAACACTAAGTCACTACACTGTCAGATGAACATCAAAGGCTCTGTCAGAGGATTACTGGATTTGGAGGAAAATGTGTCAACAGCTGACAGGCATCACACGGAAGGACCTCCTGGTTGAAATTAATGTGATACACTGTCGTTGCCTCACCTGCAAGTTATGCTAGTGTGGCAACACAGACGTGCTGTTCAATAGCAACCTTTGTTATAGAGAAAAAAAAAACGCTTTGCCAAGTGGTATTTATCATGACTGTCAAAGTCCCAAAAAAGCAACAAACTGACAGTCTTAAAAAATAAGATCCCAATAAGATTGGTTCTGTAGAACTTGGAACAGTTTTACCTTGATAAAAGAAACATGCCAGGCCCTTGTGGTTTGGAAAGTAAAACAGCTGCTGTGATTTTTTAGCGGTGGCGCCACTAATTCACACCTTCAATTTTATCAAGATGAAGTAGGTTTGGTTGGAGACCACGGTGCGTTATGTGCCGGTCCTTTCACTGTTCAAACGTAGTCAATATCGTGCCGGTGAAACACTAGCCGCTTCTCGCAACAACAATGACGTGTCCACGGCACGGCGGAGCAAAAGGAACTGCAATATCAGATTGCCAGGTGCCACAGTGGTGTCATCAGAGCAGCCTGCATTTCCACACTGTGGCAGAGTAAACAAGTCTGAGGGAACACCGAGGGGAAAGGTGCGGGCAGGGAGGAAAACCGTGTCGAAGCAGATACCCATCATCTAAAACCCAGATCAATCTGGGATATCACAAAGCTGTCTAAAAATAAACCTTTTCACGCTGTTGTATGGGCGTGTGTGCGTGTGTGTCCGCATGTACAGTATGTGTACTAAAGGTACAGTTTGTAAGGAGGGAAAGTAGAGTGGTTTCTGTTTGTACGTGCCCACACAACCTCACCTATAGGGGTTGGGCAGAGACGGCAGGCAGCTAATGCAGGTCTGTTTGTCTAACCTTGTGTCATCAGGCTAAAACCTTTCGCTCCCCACACGATAACAGCAACCGTCTGACATTAGCTGATGATCTGACTGCTGAGAGGAAAACAACAGCTCATTTATGGGTATGTGTTCGGGCAAGTCGGTCTAGTGTTCGCTCCATACAAACGGATGAAACTGATATGATGCAAAGTGTGTTCTCTCGCTGACAACATTTCATAGCTGCAATTAAAGGTGACCCCAGTTGCACTGCTGTATTTTTTTTGCGTCTCAGATATTTTCAATCAAAATGCGCACTCGACCCAGCTGGTATTAAACAACAAATTGGCCAAAGAACTATTTGGTAAGGACGTCCAATGGTAACTTTTTGCCGATATAGCCCAAACACTTAATTTCTGATTTCGATATCAACCGATACCAATATGGGTAATGGTGATATCAACTTATGAGACAGAGAAGTTGCATGTACATGTGGCCTGACTGTAGTCCATACGTCAACTATTTACATATGTGGCACATCACACCATTAAAACAAAGATCTGGTGTTTTAACAATATCTAGTTTCTCCTGCCACATTCACATGACATGTACGTGTACCTGTATCTTGAATTGTACATTTTAGCAATAAGAGCAAAGTTTGCGGCCTCTACCTCAGTGCCTCTGGCCCAGTGACCTTTCTTTTTCTTTTTTCTAACAGCAAGCTGACCTCTCGGAGTGCACCGATTCTAAAGAGTAACGGTAAAAGAAAGGGTTGGTCGGTCTGCTTCATCACAGCAGGAACAGTTAAGCCGAGTGCATGATCCTGGGGCAAACAAGGACAGAGGAAACACCCTGGAAACATCACAATCTCTGGTGCACTTGCATTCCTGTATTTGTGTGTAAATGCATTCTGTCTGCGTTTGTCTACATGAGTTTTATTACTGTTTATATGTACATTAGAGGAGAAAGATCCAGTCCATTAATCACATATGACGGACATTGGGACAAACCATATGTTACTGCAAACACAGCTGGTAATACGTAGATTCAACAAGACAGCCACAGATTTACTATATACCTTTTAAGTCCTGCTGCTTCATGTCTCTTCTGCTAGTCTACGGACTTCTGAACATATCTTTCTTTGTTGTAAAGGTTCTGCTGGGTAACAATGGGTAGGTTCAGGACATTTCATGCTTGTTTGTACCCTGTTTTTTTTTCTGAGTAATCTAACGTCATCCTCTATTTATCCAGCTTCCAACTTTTCCACTTCATTACAGAGGTTAGATCTTCCTTTGTTTAGCAAACGGTGCGTGTACTTGATAAAAAGTCATCTGACTTAAAAGCTCATGCGTGCTCTACATTCATGAAGTATCTTATCTTCAGAGAAGTGACAAAGGAATAATAGGGGTCAAAGGAAATTTGATATAACAAATCGAAAACAACACACGTTTGCACTAGATAAAACCATTCAAAAAAATTTCCCAGCATTTTCGTCAGAAACCTGTCAATGTTTTTTTTTTTTAATCCGTCTAGTAGTTCAACTTTCTATTCAATTTGTCTGTTATTAACCTAAATCCTTAAAGTAAATAGCTACTTAGCTTATAATTACAGAGGCACATTACACCCAAGTGGTCTACGGATTCTTCAAAAGTAAAAGCATATTTGGCCTTGTTCTGATTCCATTTGTTTAGTATTAGTGAGCCAAGCAGAGTCCAAGTGTTTGAAATATTTTGTTTGCGAGTGCTTGAACTACCACTCACTCTGTTTACTTTGCTAACAGTCTCACTGCAGCCCAAAAGTGGTAACAAAGGAGTGTGGCAAGTGAAAATCTACAGCATCGTGGTTACGTTATGGCCATTATCAGGTATGTGGACATAGGTCACTTCAGAAAGAAAGCAGAAGCACTCATCCAGGTTGAAATCTTTTCACGTATATAAGGACAAACTGTCCTTTTAGAAACCAAGAATTTAGAAACAACATTTGTTTTCATTAAGTTTCAAGTGTCTAACATTTTGGACCAAAATTGGGTGTAATACCACAGAAGCCCTGATGGGCTCATTGGCTTCTGATGAATGGTTTAAGGCTCGGGTCACATGTAAAATAATCTTGCAGCGGGCAGAGTATTAATAAATGAACCTGTGTTTATATTCAGGCCTGCTTGCAAACTTCTGCAACTGCTGTTGAGTAAACAGTCATTAACTAAAGCCTTCAATTGGTGTGGTGCTTTATCACCTCTCCTGGACTGCAGCTTAATATCTTTATAATGAAAGCCAGATGCAGGGAGAAAAGGGCTGGAGCAAAAAGCAAGGACAGAAGAACTCCGAGGAGGTAATATGACTGGAGTTATCACCACTTAGTTTCTTTCTCACCCATGGGAGCACCATCTGTGTCTGTTTAACTGTGTGGACTTTCAGTAAATAGACATGCAGGCAGTGATTCTGGCCTCTAATCTTTTTTCTTATTAAACTCTTCATTCTATTATAATGATATCTTCTAGTTTCTAAATGTATTTCTTACTCTGACTCTCCATGGTTTTCTGTGTATCCTGATGTTCTTACTGCAAGTCTGATATAAGGCAAACTGATCGCCTGTGAAATAAGACCAGATGTGTTCCACTAGCCTCGGGGTCTAACTCCCAATGAGGTGCGTCTCACACGATTTATAACATCAATAAATGTTTTCCTGATGATTTCATCATCTTATTTACTACTTGCAGTTCTTCGAAAGAACATCCGTGTCTCCTCTAGTATTTTTTCCATCCGTAGCAGTTGCAGAGAGGCCACAGTAAATTCATTATGTAATAACCCTCAATATGACATCCAAAGCAGTTAAAACACTGGACACTGGGCTGTTTCTGAAGAGGCCTTTTTTGGATGAGGTGCACAGATTGTGCTTCAGTGCTAGAAAGCTTGATGTGGCTGTTTTGGTAATCATGGTTTAAAGTACGTCAAAATGTTCTACAAAAATCCGACAAGGGATGATTTTTAATGGACACAACAGGAGCCCATCGGTTTCCGAGATGTTAGTCACACATAACGTCTATTCGAGCTTGAATTTAAGTAAAGGTTTATCACACTTTTCTTTGAACTAGGACCTTTATCGTCCTAATGCAGTGGTTCTCAAACATTTTCTGTCATAGGGACAGAAATGTTTTCACGCCCAACCCGACCCCCAGGGGGGCCCGTCCCAACTATTTGAGAAGTACTGTCCTAATGGAAGATATTCTTTTGTTTACTTGACTTCACCAGCAGCTGCAGATGGATGACACTCATCTTCTACTACTTCATCCTGTTCAGGATTGCAAAATGTTTTACCCTGAATTAAAAATAATAAAACACTTATCTCAACTATCATATGAGAAGTTACATAAGAGAATAAGCCACAGGTATAATTATAATTTTTACATGGTCTTACCCTGCTCTAACTTATAAAGTACAAAAGACCAAAATAATTGTACAACAATGCTGGTGGGTTTCATCTTACACCAAATATGGAGTGGTGTATTGAAATGCCGACCTCGGTACATCCTTGGCATCTATCTTCAGCGCGTTCCAAAACATCTACAGGTCAGTCTCTTTTACTCTTTAAAGTAGATCAACATGGTAATAGCCACTCACTGTGCTGGAGTGCTAAAGCTGAAATGGGAACCGTATGTGCATTCTTTGGAAAAAGAAATGAGGGCTCAAATTAGAGGTGTTAAAATTTCTCTAATTGTATTTTCCTCTTGGAAATGTTTCATATACCCAAAGCAGACTATTAGATCCAAAACGAATGGCTGAGCTGTTGGATAATAGGAAAGACCTTTTTTTAGGCTGCATTTAACAAGGAAAGTCACACCATGAGTAAGAATCTCTAGTCAAGATTACCTGCTCCAAACTGGGCACAAAAACATTCTGAAGTTCCCTTAAACAGCACCAAGACTGGGCTCAACAAACTGAAACGGTCGGATGGTGTGAAAGTCCAGTTCCACTCCTGGACTGCACTGGTCCAGGATGAATGGCACCGCAGAGTGAATGAAATGGTGCCTCCATCATGTCTAGTATTTCAATACTGGGTTTGATTAAATGGCCAGGTCTATGTTTAGCACCACTATAGTCTCTAAAATTAGAATATGCTGACGACTCAATATGTTAAACAACCAGGTTTTACCATTAGTGTTTTTTCCCCCCGTGATGACAGGGACATATTCCAAGACGACATTGCCAGAACCCAAAGAGCTGAACGCTCTGGTAGGTTCAACGAACATGAGTAATCTTTAGTCATCATTTTCACAAATGAATTGGCCAATGCATATTCCAGACCTCAGGCCCAATGAAACCCTTTTAAGATTTGCTGGAGAACGTCTGACAATAGTCTAAATGGAAATATTCTTTTGTACCCTAGTTATTTTATATTAAAAAAAATATGGTAAACCACAGATAGAGTGTTTGTTGTTGTTTAGAGGGTTTGTTTTGAGCAGTACTTCTGCTTAACTCAGTGCCACAAATCCATGGTGTAAGAGGAGTTATCCGTCTCTTTTCTCCAGTCAACATTTGTCAGAATTTCATTTTACCACGAAGCCAGGGAGACAAAAACCAAGTTGAAAAAGAGACCTTATTTATGCACATATTAGCCCTCGGGCCTACTGAGCTAGACTATATGACTATATGAATAAATGACTGAACGGAAAAATACATAAGGAAAGAAGCCAAGTGGAGAAAAAGAAGTGATGACGTGCTCGTGAAGTTGTCAAATGTTATTAGAAAGCTTACCCTTCTTGCCAAACCAAGCGCAATATAGCACTTCTCGCCAGCATCAACGATCTCCACTTCATAATAGTGACAGCGGGTGGTCAGTGGCTGGCGGGCCTGAGCCAAACCCACGTCCATGATGCTCTTTCCTTTGCCAATGTACTCCAAGAGCTGATGAAGAAAATAAACAGAGAGGGTTGCAGGTCAAGATATAGTACAAGTTAAAAAAAAGAAAAAAGAAAAACAATAGAGAAAGTAAGAAAACGAGAAAGTAAGTCTTAAACATTGTTAAGATTTCACCCTAGGAGGGAACTTTACAGTCTGGCAATCTTTTGATGCAGTTTCATATTGAAGAGCATATTTCAAAAAGGTCAAAGAGAAAGTGTTGACTTATTAACTTACTGTTGTGCATGTGTGCAACACTACTGAGACTGAGGTTTAAAAGCTCAAGTGCAGAACTAAGCAGAACTTGATGAACAACAAATCCAACTCCAGGAGTCTCAGGAAACTCAATTACAGCCGTATGTAAATGCCCTTCCCTTTTCACTCACTCATCATTTCATAAACAGCACTCATTCCTGGGTGGTTTTATTTTGCATCTGCATGGCATGCAAAATGAGCTGGAAACAAAAGATGTTTTCCGCAGATTACAGAGGTCCTGACCCCAATGTTGTTCACTTTTGCAATTGTGTACTACATGAGTGGGCACCGTGGCAGGTTAACACAAATCCAAGCAACCTTGATTGAGCCACCCTTATTGACTGTTCTGCAAGTATGAACAACCGATCAGGACAACGTGCGCGCTGCCCGACGATAATGTAATAACTTCCACATCTATTTTGGTTCGAACCATCGAAACAGGTAAAGTTGGGTGGATGCAGGTGAGTGGGTGGGCAGCTAGGCAACCACAAAGCCTTTAGGCTGAACACTGTTTCCATCGCATTAAAATCCACGTGAGATTGTAGTGTATGAGCATGTGCACAATGAAGTATACGCCCCTGGCTTGAAAAGCTAGGATGACAGACAAGGTGGGTGGACAAAATTACTTCTGTTACTAAGCCTTTGTGTTTTGTGTTGTTGAGTGTCTGGGTTTGTGTGTATGTGCAGTTTTTTGGTTGTTTTTTTGGGAAGTGCCAAAGTCTGGGTGTGCTGTTTCAGTCTCAAAGAGTGGTTGATCAGATAATATTATTTTGTTTCCTCAATGCCAGCTAGAACATTGCTAAAATAATTTAATTCTTACTTTAAAAAAAAATCAAATTTAATTTTTACCAAACACCGATAACAATGATGATATTATCGTTATTGTTATTGTCATTGTCATCATGTGTAGAGAAGTGAGAGAGGGGCAAAAGGGCAGTTGGTGTTAAGGAGATGGAAGCAGGCTGAATGGGTTATGTTTAAGGATGTCCCATATTCACTTTTTGTTGCAACCGATATGCAATATTGTCCAAACAATTAAATTCCAATTTCGATATCAACCGATACCGATATAGGCCTGGTAAACTCTGTCTGTACAAACCACTGAGTAGGGGATTGATTACATGAGCTGCAATGCTGCCATCTAGTGACTTTACTTTAATATATAGCCGTTTTCGGATATAGCAGGAAGAGGAAGGATAAAAAAACAGATTCAGCTGCAAGGAAATCGTTAGTTAATTTCAGTAAATAAGTTGTGAAGAGGGCGGAAACCTGACTGGAACTATTTATAAAGGCTAGTGTGTGACAGGTGGGTATGGAGCTGAGAGGTAATTTTGATGGTAGTTTTAATGGTTGCATGATGTGTTTTGACGTATATTGCTAATTACATAAATATTAAATAAAAATGTTGACGTAAACAAAAGAAAGATTTGCGTCATTCTGAAATTTTATGACGTTGGAACCTTACAATTATTTTCTGTGCTGTGGAGCATTTTAATAACTACTGAAAATCGAAGCCATCGGCTGGAAAACGTGGTGACGCAACACCAAAATTAGAGAACTGACTTTTCAGTGGGTGCATTTCCATGGCCATAATTACATAATTACTTTTGCTTTTGTTCATCATTCCAGCTGCAAAAATAATCAGTTGGTTACAATGCTAACAAGAATGAAATGCTCAAAGATCAGATCTAAAATGAAGAATCTTTATCTGCACCATTTTGAAGTATCTACTTAAAACAACAGAATGTTCAAAACAAAACGGAGCCTTCAACTTCAGTATTTTACCTGCATATTCTCTAAGAAATGCACCAAAGCAGATCATTTGACGTCTCTGTAGTCCGCTGCTGACTAATTACTTGTTGTTAAAGAGCTTTCAGCTGTCTGGGCTTTGTTCAAGTCCTGTTATGTCTCATTAACCTCCTGCATCTTCATGTCTGGACAAAGGATTTTTCTTTCAGTGGAAATGAAAAAGTTTTGAGGAACACTCAGTCACACCTTTTTTGGTTTTTACTTCTTAGTAATTGAAAATGAGAGACTAGAAAGACCTGGAAAAGAGATTTGGCCTTGGGCAAAAAATGTCTCACAGAACTATCTGACCATATCTTATTCTCCCTGACTTTCCTCTTCTTGCTTTTGTGATAAGAGAAAATATTAATGATGTGGTGCAAGGCCATGTTTTGTTGAGCTACTGCCTGGTAACCAGATGTAACGCCCAGTGAGTGGTCCTGCCAGCTTCCTGTCATATTTGATGGAGGGACTAAAAGAAAAGTGAGCCCGAAACAAGGAGACCTCTTTATTTAGTATCACATTTTTGGCAAATCTAGATTGAGTTTTGTGTTGGTGTCTGTCTGTCTTATCTTTCAGAGAAGCACCTAAACAACACTGATGAAAAAAAAAATCAGAGAAAAGAAGTATAAATCACCCAAAAACTGATTAAAGTTGAGTCTAGTTAGGATATACAGTATAAAGTAGAGGGTGTTGCAATTTTTTAGGTTGGAGAGAATCTAGAAAACAGATGCCAATGATAAATTCTTATCTATTGATCGTAGACTGACACAACTGTCCAGGGTTGAACCCTGTCCCAGCCCAGTGACTGCTGTGATCGTCACTTGTCCTACTGTGAATCTCTGGTTCAATTCCTGGTCTTTCTGTATGGACTTTCATATTCTTCCCATGTTTGTCAAGTTTCCTGTAGGTACTCTGGTACCTGAAGTCTTAAAGGAATAAAACATAGGTATAAAATGTTTAAATTTTGCAATCCCTTTGGATTGCCTTAACTATAGCCTCAAATAATGTCAGAGAAATTATAAAAAAAGTTGGTAGTGGTTTTAGAAATAAAACTAAAAACTGTTTTGTGTTTTTGTTTTTTTACAGTTGCATTTACGGTTGCAAGACTCACAAATGTAATCTAACATCCTCTGGTGAGAATTACAATTCCAGTTAAGGAGAAACAAAACTTCTGATCTGATGCAAAGTAGAACTAAGGGTATATTTTTTGGTTGATAGCACTATTTATGATTATTTCATATTATCAAACAAATGATAAAAACACATTTTACTGAAGCTCTGTTGCTGGGAAAAATAAAGAAGTCAATGAAAAAGTCAGCATTGAGCTGATCAAAGCCCAAGTCAGACTACCAGACTCCCTGTCCCTCAGCTAAGGTTGGGATTCATTACAATAAACCTCGAAAAACCGATAAACAAAACCATTCTATTTTCAATTATTCAACCATCTACTAGTGGATATCGGTCTCCTAAATTGTCTAGTAAACAGTTTTACTAATTGACCTTTGATGGGTGTAGTAACTAACGGCCTATTGTACCTCACCTAATAAAACAACAAGCCACACCTTTATTCAGGAACTCACCCTCATTAACGTTACAATAGTGAGAACTGCCCCAAGTCTGAGCTGCTTTTTCAAGCAATCTGAAAAAGACTTTGTTAAAAGAGGGGTTAGTAAAGTTAGTTCTTTTAAATTACATAACATTTTATTTCCATGGTCTTTGTTTTTAACAAACATTCCTTCAAAAAGCCACCGTCTCATTATTTATAATTTTAATGTCCTCGCCAATCAACTATTTCTCGTGTGAGTCTGGCGTCTATAGCTTTAGGATTCTGCCTGCACTGCAAAAGAATAATCAGAACGTTGTCCTCAAAGCCAGGTTCAGGCTACAGGAGTTCAAAAATCCTACACAATTTTAAAACTGCGCTGGATCACGCACATCAGGTAAAGCATCACAGATGTTCTCCTTTCTAATTTCAAACATGCAAACAAAACATGATTTCGGAGTAATGGCGCATCATTCACCACAGGATATTATTAAGATAATCATGGCAGAGGGAGCAATCAGGAAGAAATGCACCACCTCAAATGCCCTCACATAATTTAATAAAGGATAAGACGTAAACAAAACTGAGACAAGTTCAAAATGTTGCGGTGAGATCAAAGAGCACCGTAGGTGAGATTCTAACTGCGAGTTTTAAAAAATTGTAAACAGATATATCCGAGCTAACATTAGCGTAACTTGCTAATGGTAAGTGTGTGCTACAACAGCATGATCTGTTCAGGTTAAATTGGCATCCACCTCTGAACGACTACAGCAAAAGAAGTGGAGTTTCAATAATCATTTTCATCTAGACTTTAAATATTTATTTTGGCAGTAAGCTCAGTTTGGGTCAATGTGCCATTTGAAGGAGTAATCTTCCATTTATTTGGAAACTATCAGAGCTCTGGCCCCCCTTCACACAAACCTTTCTCTTTTTTTTTTTAAGGAAACACTACAGTTGTTGGTCTTACTCTTTGTAATGTGTGTTTGTGAGTCTTTTGTAAACCATATACGCTGACGGACTGTAGTTGTTTTTTGGTCAGTACGGCTGGACAGTAAAGCATTGCTTCCATCTCCCTCAACTCTGTCAGAGGTGCTGACAGACGGCTGTGCCTGCTCATCCAACAGAAAGCAGAACATATGCTTTCAATGTGCATATAGTTCAATTCAAATCATGTTTTCTATGAAAGAAAACTAAAGAAAAAAACAAAGACAAAGGAAAGAAGGTTCAAAGTAGAAGAACTTTAGGTCAAATTTCCATTTCAGCTTATGAGAACCAACATCTACAGCTGTTGCCCTTCACTGACACCTCAGTACTCACATAACATATTATAGAAAGCACAACCAGAAAGCCGGAAAACCAAAAAGTAGATGCAACTGTGTTCCTTTGCTAAGGAAGAGTCATAAAAACCATTTTGTATTAT